CTGAGGTTCTTGTTGTGTCCCTGCCCCCTTATCCATTGTGAGGGTGGACTTCTTTCTGTGCCCAGTGGTTTGGTGAGGGCGCCTTGGGAAGTGGGCCAGTAAGGGTGTCCAGGCCACATGCCAAAAGGCTAATTTGAAAGTCCTTGCACCACGGGGCTCTGCATATACAGTTGGATCGGGGAGGATGGGCAGTGGAAGCTGGTGGGATGGGGTTGGGAGTGAATGTGGTGGTTTGGGGGGGGGAGATCATCATACAACAAGAACAGTTGTTGGCACTGGGGACCCCTGACCTAGGCGGGGTAGCTGCAGTAGTAAGGCTGGAGGGAAAGCAGTTGACATCGTCAAGAGACATTTAGTAAGGCGCCAGTTGGATCAGCCGTAAGCAGCCCCCCAGCTAGCCTGGTATCTCCTGTGAGTTTGGAAGAGCCTGTGCCTCATGTCTGTCTTAATGAAGCTGGTCGGGGAGGTAACGGAGACAAGATGACAAGGGCTTGTTCTCCTAGAGGCTGGCTGCCTGGCCATCTCAGCCTTCTAGAACTGTCCTTATCCTGAGTGTGCGTCAGGGAGATGGTTAAACATACAGATTCGCAAACCCCACCCCAGGATTCGGGTGGAAAAACGTGCGGCGGGGCCTGGCCAGGCCGCATAGTCTACCATGATCACCTCCCCACCAGGTGATTCTGATGCAGCTGGTCTAACACCCAGCCGGCTTTATGAACCACTACTCTGGAACTTAACTGAGGGAGAGTCAGGAAGTGAGCAATAGTGGAAGCTCTGGGCAGCACACTGGGTGTCACAAAGTGTATTTCTAGCGGCTAGGACTCAGAGAAATGGAGTTTAAAATGTTTCTGATGTTTGTTTTATCTGGGCTTGGCTTGGATGCCTCCAGTGATGGGTGTCTCACTACCTACCAAGTCAGCCCAGTGATTTCAAGACAACCCTGCAGAAAGTGCTTCTTTCCACCTGGCCAATTTCTGCCTCCCTGTAATGTGTTCTTGGTGGTCTGGTCCAGGCATCTGGAGACACGCACAGTAAGTACCATCCTCTTCCCCAAGCAGCTTGCCAAGGATGTGGGTGTTTCTGATGGTGATGAGCGCTAGCATCTGTGTAGATGATGGGTGTTGCTGTTATTATCCCGTTTTACGGGTGAACAGAGACTGAGGCACCCAGAGTTAAGAAACCTGTGCTAGGTCACACAGTTAGTCAATACTCTGAACCACCAGAGTACACTGTTCTAGACTTTTCTACCACCTGCAAGCCTCCCAGCAAACATCTTGGTTCCTTAGGACTTTCCTTCCTATGACCTGTGTTTGTTTTTTCATTCTCCTCCTGAACTCTGAGGCCCTCCTTCCCATCCTTAACCACTCTGTCTTTCTGAACCATATCTGGGAGGACACACCTCTCCCTTACTCAGATTTTCTCCTTACTTAGTAAAAGTGTAGTTCTCATTTAGTGTATATTTCTCATTAGGTGAATTGCTAATAATTTCTTTTCTTTCTTTTTGTTTTCTGCCGCACCGCATGGCATGTGAGATCTTAGTTTCCCGACCAGGGATTGGAAGCGTGGAGTCTTAACCCCTGGACCATCAGGGAAATCCCCCTCAAAATTTCGATAGTTGTATTTTGATTTTAAAACTTGCAGGCCATCCCGTTTGATCTTCACACATCCCATGGGGTGGTAACAGGGTGGGTGTTCCTCCAAGTGCCTCTTTCACGTTGCGGCCGGGAATGTCCAGGTGAGTCTGACCTGTGCAGGGGCTGGGCTGGACCATTACCCTGCTTGTTTTAGGCGTTTCTAGCAACACAGGTAACGATCGCATTGGCTCTTTTGGTGACCACGGTCTCTGCCGACTCTGAGCTCACAGCCGGCTCAGACCCTCTCGTCTCCAGCTTTGCTCCTTCGGAGCTACATTCTCCCACTTGTCACTTGCAGGGTCGGATGTGGGGACCCACGTGTGGGTTGTAGATGTTTTCCCAGTATGCTTGGCCTTGTTAGATTCGGCCAGGGGTTCAAGCCTGTGAAAAATCTGAGCTGGAGGCTTGCATTCCAGCAGCACGGCTGGTTTTCCATCTCCCTGTGGGTGATTGAGTGCCGGGGACATCGCATCCAGAGCTGGTGGCCATGGATTCAGACGCTCATGTACTTGACTCATGGAAAGCCCGCCAGGGCCCCAGCCTCTACTCTTCTTGCTTTAGACACACTTTTAAGACACTGCTTTGTGTGGGTCCCAGTCCATAGCAGTTTAGAAGCCGTATGAGAAAAGGGGGATAGGGTGCTGTCAGACACACAGACAGAAAGTTACAACTACGGAGGAAGCTATAAGAAGTACACTTAAAAACTCCAAATTATATTCAGGGGTCATTTAGTTTAGAGGAACTCTGTCATGTATATATATACATGGTTGTTTTAGTGGGGGCCCTATATATCTTAAAAGCCCTTGAGGGATTCTCTATATTATAGTCCTAAAGATA